AAGGATAAACATACATTCGCGGGCGCTCGTACACGAAAAGTGGTACGTCCACTTCGCGATTAGCATCGTAAAATATTCTCAGCTTTCCCGACGGGGTAGTGTCGAGGGGCTCGGGGCCGCTCAGAGCGGTCGCGTTTTATATTGCTTTTCTGTGATCTCGACGAGGAGAGGAGGGCAAAAAGGCAAGCGCGTGTTGGGCGGTGAAGAGGTCGCGGAGTAACGAGAAGAAGAAATCGCGCGGGAGAAGTTGCCGCGGGCTGGCTTTGTAGTTACGGATAAGTTGCGCGTCACCGACAACAGGCACGAGAGACAATTCGTTAGAGAAGCAGCGCGTTCGTTATGATACATTAGGAATCACCGACGGCGAATCGTCGCTCTCTTCCGTAAAGGGCGGTACAGAAAAATTGCAAAGCTCCTCCAATTGCTTTTTATGTAATATTTGGTCTTCAAATGGCAAATGCGTGTAATGAAAAATTCATCGCACATTTTATATGTCACTGGTTTCTATAATAAAAATGTAATAGCACATTTTTACCTTTTAATATTAAGTATCTTGCTCGAATAAAAATTCAATTTCAATATCGGAGTCAATATAAATTAGATAAAAACTTTTTTGTTTGTTATTTTTATTCATAATTGGTTATTTTTCCCTCAAATTTTGACAGTTATCATGTCCAAGGAAAATATAGTTAGCTAGAGTATACAAGGTGACAGAAAAGTTTGGCCATAAAGTTTTGCATTTACAAAATCATTAATAAACCGATATATTTACAAAAAACAAATTTCGAGCTATAACTATATCCTGTTAATATCAAAACTGATAATTAACATATAAATTAGCTATTTTCAGCTTTGATACAAGCTTAACAAGGTATTTTGGAAAGATATATAGGTATCAACAATGACTACGAATTTTTTCAGATAAATCTTCCCAGGAAGCCAATTAAGTGATTTTCAAGTTACTAACCGATGAAAATCTTTTAGTACAGAGTATATTTGGTATCAAGTAAAATATAATTAATATTTCAAAGTTTGTTCTTTTAATATACATTACTATTATCTTTCTTTAGTGTTTCATCGTACGGTTCCAAATATCTCACTATTTTGCTAGAGAGATCGATAACTACCAAAAATAACAAAACTAAACTTGTAGCGCGTTTTCTAAATGACTCTCCTTTGTCGAAGATTATACAACAGTTTTACAAAAAATCGATTGTCATTATGAAAATTTATGCTGTTTTGTAATGCAGTCTTTAAAAATAGATTATCAAGTCTGACGAAAATATCGTTCAGAAAGACGAAAGAAAATCGACGCGCACACTTAAAAGGAAAAGTCATTAAAATGTTGAAAATGAGTGAGTAATCGGAAATTTTTTCTTATCGGAGAGCCTAAAATTTAGTCAAAAAGTCGGAGTCTCTCCAACCGAAAACGGGAGAGATAACAACCATAATTATATTATTCAAGAATCAAGCTGACGTTATTTCTCTTCGTTTGATGTCATTAATATCATTTTGACATCAAAATGACAACAAACAACTTGTTATGTAGGTAATGATTTGATAAACGTACGAAATTTTGTCACACACAAACTTTCTCGTCACCCTGTATATTTGTCAATATTGTATAATAATATTTGTGCATGTTCCGGCAGAGCTGATTCCTGAATGATAAACAGATTTTTTTTCCTCGTTCTCTCTTACTCTCAATGTCTTTCACCTTTTTGCATCGTCGCGCGATGCAGTCATTCTTAAAATGCATGAATGTGCTTGTAGCACGTGCGCACGCACGCACGCACGCACGCATGCATGCATGCATGCACGCACGCACGCACGCACGAGTCCCTCGAAAAATAAACCACGAGCTTCTTACGCCGTCGCCGTAGCATGACTTAATTAATAGGAAAGAGCGAGTAGCGTCGACAAAGTCCGTCTTTGTCGAGGAGTTCGCGGCACTGGGTCAATAAAGAGCGCCGCCGAGTAGACGACGGTGTTTCACTAATTACGTGAGCGTCACTCGCTCGGAACAACACCATCGGCGATCGCGGTATAATTGAATGAGGCGAGGACGCAGTGCGATAATAAATTCATTCGGATTCGCGTTCGATCGACTCGCTCTACACGTCCGGTGACTAATCGTCTGTTTGAATACGCTTGTACAAGGCATTAAGGCTCCTTTATGCTACACGGCTTTACAACGACGACCTCCTCAATGGACTTGCATTAATATGTATCTTAGGCTCTTAATATAAAATGTATAGTCTTCAGAATTTTCAGATTAAAATAAAATTGATATAAAAATGGATTTTATTAATCTCTCTCAAGTGAAAAGTGCATTTCTATTATAAAATACATAACGATATTAAAATAAATATCGATTAGTATATAGAAATATATATAATGATTTATTTAATTATTTCTATAGGTATAGTTTTGGATCAACAGTTCCAGCTTATCGTCATTTTAAATTGATTAGATTAGACACGCGATAATATCATATCAAAATGGAGCAGCGTATTTAAGGCTTTAACATCGCGCGAATCGAATCGATGCGAGTATCGTGTTGCTCGACGGGCGTGCGACAGCTTGACAGATGAATGAACAATTGTTTTACTCTGATTTTGACCATAATGACGACATTGCGTATACACCGGTCGTTAATTTATTTCCGCGCGGAACTTTTTCGTCGGGACGAACACGTTCGTTCGCGCCTATCCGATTATTCGTCAGCGCGTTCTCGCGAATAAATGCAAAATTACGGGACGTTCCCCACAGTAATGTACATGTTCGTGAAATCGGTTGCAATTAACGTTAATTCATTCGTGAAGGATTTAAATGTCTCCGTCGTATGGGGAAAATAAAACGGAGCCAATCATAGACTTCTGTGTCTTCCTCGGCGATAGCCGACGAAATCGCGTTCCCCGCTTTATCGATGACCCTTGAAAATATATAGCTACTCGCCAAATAGATCCCTCTATATATCGTCGCAAATGGAAAGTAGAGTGATTCGATAAGCGTGCTGCAGGTAAAACTCGGAAATAGCGGCAATATATTTTCATGTTTTAACGCGATTTCAATGTCTTTCTTATATTTCTGCATTCTTGTGTTCCTGCCGCATATTCTTTAGAGCATGACAAAGGATATGAGTGCTAAACGATACTAATTGTTTCGTGTTAACAGCTTAGAGAAAAACTAACGGCTACAGGAAACATTGCGTGCGGCTCTCTATAATTGAAACGAAGTCCTTGCTCGGTATCAGCATATCTGCATACAACGTCATCGAGTGCACATGTTCGATATGATTCACGGTCACGGTAAAATCGTGAGCAGTTTGAGCGAACAGAATTATCGAACGAAATACTAATATCAATACACTATAATTATATTTCTAATAATGGAACAGAATTCAACCATCAGTTTTATCTTTAATGAATGGAGTAATTATGAGATGATGCAGTCACACACAATGTAAAGTGATCTCGATAAAATAAAGTTACTGTCTGAAAAAGACAAAGAAGGAGAGAGAATGTAAATTAAATTACTCAACCATAATTGAAAGTACTACGCACTTGTGTGTATTAAAAAAATATATAAATAGCAAGGAACGAGCAAAAATTAAGATAATTTTAGTAACTGAACGTCTTAATTTTTGCTCGTTCTATAATCTTATTTTACTTTAATTTATATATTATTAAACTTTAGCACACAATTGGATCATTTGTGTGTTTTTTTGCACATTTCTTTTTCTTCCAAAAACTAGGAGCATCGAGTAATGAGTTATAACATTAATATACAATTTTTTATACTACTCAACCTTACAAATACTTTCTAAAGATGTTAAAGTTTATGTAAGAATTTTATTTAATAATATTTGTTAAAGTGATGAAAATTAATCTGTGTGGGACACGAATGGCTCATCGTTTGAAATACTTTTGTATTGTACCTAATATCACATTATATTAAAACATTATTTAATCGACGCAGAAAATTAGAATCTCAATGTACGGATGCGTCCGCGACCGAAATTAAAGTAGAAACGCGGGCAATGATTCGTGTAATTAACGGTATAGAAACTAACGGCAGAAATCCTAGCGAGCCGCGGATTAATCGAACGACGACACGTACGTTCGATCGAGCGTGAAGGAATTATCGTAAGAAGAAGCGTGATCGTGAACACAAAAAAAAGAAGTGAAAAGAAAAAGAAAAAACGACCGGTGCTCATTCATCGTGGGAGTTCGTTTAACCCCATTCGCGTGAGTTTCCTCATCAGCCGCCGTGTGGTGAGGATTGCGAAACCGAACGAGCCCGTAGGCCGAAGAAATCCTTGCGGCAATCTTATCGGCGAGACGGCGAATCGGAGTATATATACCTACCGAAATGAGCACGGCGTGCGGTGGCGGTTCGATAATGGAATGCGCGAGACGATGTCATGCATGTATCGACGGACGTCGGGGCGAGACGTCGATCGTTAAATCATCTAAAGGGTCGAGAATAACGTGCCGGGTGCTGGGAATGAGGAAATGACCCCAGTAACGAGGCGAGACGACAACGAGGCAGAAGTTGTCAAGCCTGGGCTCCGGTGACACCCACCTTGCCAGTGGACCACTCCTCTTGGCTCGCTGGCCGAGGATCTTCTCGACCACGGTGACGTTGCCGCTTCTTGCTGCCTCGAGCAGCTCCTGGTCCTTGCCCATGGTCCATTTACACCGCGATCAAGCCGCGATGTTTGCCCGCACACTTGTCAATTTGTGTTTTCACTACGATTACTCGCGTTTCATTGATCCAACGTGGCCATCTTGGGCGAACTGACGCGCCGCCGTGCGGCGGTCTCGCGAAGCTAATTCTTCGATGAAATGCATCATAAGCGGGAGCGAGACGACGCGGGCGTTCCTCCGTACGGCTTATGAATGGAGCGAGCGAGATGGCACGTATCGCGCGTATCGCCACGAACGAGCACGAGCTCGTACGGCCGAGTGTCAAATGACAGCTGTTGCGTCGTACGCTGCTACTCCGTCGCAACGAAAACGCCGGTTCACACTTGGACAGTAACTCGAGCGAGTGAATACGTAATACGGGATGTGCGCTGACATGAATCCAACTGTTATCTTTCTATTAGTTTTGTCATTATTCGTCGGTAACGAGACGGTGGCGTTAGAAAATACGACTACCAAACCCGGTAAGCGTACATAACCTCAATATTCAGCAAACTTCTCATGAAATTGTAAACATTGTTTTTGAATAAAACTTAGGGCTGTATTCATTGTCCATTCTTATTTTAAGGTCTTAAATAATGTCTTAAGATGCTAATACGCTCTCTGATTTATTCATAACATCCTAAAACTATACTTAAAACAGTCTTAAAACAGTCTTAAATTTAAGAGTTAATTATGAATATCAGCCTTACAACATATTAATAATATACAGATATCTGGATATTGGAATATATTCTCATTGGAAATGTATCAATATAATACATTTAGTCAATTATTTAAAATATAGATAATACCTACATATCTGCTCCTGTTATCTGTTCAAATATATAAATCATATTTAGGCTCGGTTTTACTATTTACACCTTTCTTTAATTCTAAGAATACTGTATAAATATATGAAGTCTATCTGAGCCAACACAGGATGTATGTAAAGTACGATAAGTAAATTTATTAAAAGAGATGCATATATGTGTAAATATATATACATTTATAGATTCATTCATTGGAGCCCAGTTTGAATGTTCAATTTAATCTAGGAATATTCTCCAAATTAGAAAAAGAGAAAGGGGATAAATTAAACCGAGATTAAAGTTATTTTTGCATTAGTGAAATCGAGTTTTAGGTATTTGAATATTATAACATATGTTAACACAGTGTTAATTAACCAAAATTAGTAATATCAAATAAGTGCATACATATTTCCTAAATTGTCCAGGTAATATCTAAATATTTGTAATATTAAATACTAATCACATTACTCATGATATATGGATATCTAATATATATTCAGGTTAATCAAATATAAGTATTCGATTAACACCTGATAACTACTTGAAACATGTGAATACCTTAATAATTTCCAAAATGTGTAAGCAATTTATGAATATTTGTATGATCGTTTACTATTCTAGATATATTAGTATTACAAAATAATATTATAATATATATATAAGTATTCAAATACACATTTTCTTAAATATACAAGTAGTCTCTAAAAGTAAATCAGTATATTATTAATATTATTACTAACTTCAGTGCTGCACTTATGACTGCAATTATCAGTGTATATTTAATGTAATGATACACTGATTTTTCACTTTTAAAAGTTATAATTTCTACAGATTGAATGTTCTAAAATCTGAATCGGTATATTATTATATATTGTAAAACACAAATATTCTCTGATACATCAGTTATAAGTGTAGAGTGTAACACTGAAGTCCGTGGGTGCTTTCCAACAAGCGACACGGTGTGACACAGTGTATCAATATATCCTTGTTGTTCGCCAATGTTGAACAAGGATGACATGATCACTGTATTGTACTGTGTCGCTTGTTGGAAGGCACACACTAATTCACTTTTAAACGGTAGAAGTAGACGTACTAAATAAATCTGAATATCGGCTCTATGCAAAATTTATAAGTAAAACTTTAATATAATTATAATACTTTAATAATTATAAAATTAAAAATATATTTTAAAAAAGAGCTATAAGCCATAAATAAACATATTATAATGTACAAAGTTAAAAATTGGTCAAAATCGTCAAAAAGATAAGTCTGTAAGACTAAGTTTATATTATGGACTTATCTTTTTGACGATTTTGACCAATTTTTAACTTTGTACATCGATGCTATCATGGAGTGCATTTTAGTCAACCAAATTTCTTGAATTCACCGAATATATTTATCTATAAATGTCTTATTTTAAGTATGTAAATTGTAAGTTTATTGTTTTTGCTTTTGTTATTAAAAATTACTCGATCGAAGTCGAAACGCGTTTAACCGGTTTAATATATTTCATATGTCTTATTGTAATTTAGATACTGTAATATATTTATTTATGGTTGTAGTCCTTTTTTGAAATATATTTTTAATTTTTTAATTATTGAGCCATTTATTGATATTGCTTTTGATAATTATGTTTGCATATTATTTATAGACAAAATGGTTTTTTTAATATAATTTTTTTTTAATTCTTACTCAAGTTGATGATGTACAGCAAACGATAATTTATTAATCTAAGATTGATATAAAATATATTGAAATTATTAAGACACAGGAAAAAATTATAAAATCGGAAGAATTGTTTAAATAAAAAGAGACATTATGATATGATTATTTGAATGTAAAGTGGATTCTCCTTATTTTACAAAATTTGATTTTTTCAGGTCTATATGAAGTTCAAATAGTTTGAATTTTTACAGAAAATTTTGAATGTATTTAGATATTGTCAGATTTAAAAGTTTCTTTTTTATGAACATGTCATGTGTGATCACCTTCTCCTTAACAATAGTCTTGTGTTGATTCTGTCTTCATGAATTTATCGCGAAAACCTGTCCTCTGCTTCATAGATATCTCTTTACAAACTTCTTAAAGTCATTCTTAAATGGTAACCACGAAAATTTTTGACAACGCTTTGCAATGTTTTTCGTTAAAAATTCCGGAATTCACATTATTCATTTGTTAGAGGGTCGTCCAATACAGAATCCAATACTCCAATACAGTAAGAGAATTAGTACAATATTTTGTTATCCACATCTTATATCAACACTATTAATGATTAAAATTTTATTTTAATAAATTTTTTAATAAATTAGAGTACAAAATGTTATTGGCAAGAAACTTTTGCTCGCTACTGTACATAATATGATAGTACATAATATAATAAACAATTAATTGTAAACGAAAAGATCGCGCCAGTCGTAGCAGCAATTGTTTTACAACTTTAGTACCCATTTAAGAACAAGTTGAAAACTTACAAGAGATGATATTAATTACAATAAAATTTCAAGTAAAGCTCACATATTATCATCTTTCGCTATATTGTTTATTTCCCTTTATTATTTATATTTTCTTAATAATCGACATTTACATATTCATGATACGTAAATGAATCATAATGTTTATTATTTTAATATTATAAATTATAACACAACGGTTCTAGATGTTTCAGAATATTTTTTTTATGAGAGAGAGAGAGAATAGGCAAATATTTTTATTATTTTGACAATATAAATAGCAAGTGTAGCGAATAGTACAAATACTTAAATAATATATAAATAATATCGACTGGATATTTGGATACATCAGTGTTATTATCCATGTTTCGAATAATGTAAATGTTTGAGTAATTGGATTCCATTCAATTTATAACTCTAATATATTCCTACATTATATGTCAATAATTGCGATCAATAAATAAAACTAATCTATTGTTTTGGAAAAGTTAAATCTGATTTTTTGAATTTACACACAAGTTATTCGTAATTGTTATTTATTTAATTGCCTTTATTTCGCTTTGCTTTATTACAAAATAAAACTTTATTATAAAATATATTATAGATATTTTTTAGAGAGAGAGAGAGAGAGAGAGAGAGAGAGAGAAAGACGTCTATAGATATGTATTTTTGTGTTGCTTTATATTTAGTACAGGGTTATCTGTAACTCGCTCATGTCGCGTTACAAATTAGATAAATAGCTCTAGACATAAAAACATTACAGAAATGTTTAATTTCTCATATAATAATAAAGTAATATGTAATTATCGTAATTATTTTCATTAATATCGACGTTCGATGTATTGTATTGCAGACAACATGGAGATAACCATATCTTTATTGAATCATCGTGAGAATGACGCATTTAAACAACGAATAAATTTAGCCCCATTTAATCGCTTAAATATTACTGTGAGAGATGTTCCATTGGATATTTGGTTTATTGTTTTACAAATTCATACATTTCAATACAATGCAACGTTATCTTACGACAAAGCACTGCTTGATAAAGTGTCGGACAGAAGTTTATTCGGATCAAACATTGGTCTGTATTTAAAAACGCACGATGTAACAACTCCAATACAGGTTTTCTTGAAGCATGAAAACTTGTATAGTATCGATGCATTGCTCGTAATTGTCACATACGGTCAAAATGGTAAGTATATACAAATAATATTAATAATATGTATTTCTGTTCTTTTCACACTTTTCTTTTCGAGCAACATTTATTTATGGAATTAAATTTAACGCCGACACAATACTGCCTATTAATATAATGTAAAATTAATGGCGCTATGTGTATATAAAGACAATTGCAAGATAATATTTACGTAATAAAGATCGAAAAATTATATGCCGTATTAAATTAAATAGCCGTGTTACATTAATCGCGATAGCATAAATAAATCGCAAATTATACCAAGACGCATTAATTTGTGGCGCATCTCTATTATCCGTCACGCGTAAATGGGTTAAATAGCTAACCGTTTTCGACGGCGAGCGTAATGGCAAAATTGGATGAGTATCGAGAGAATTCATCGGCGTTGTTCATTGGTCGATTGTTGTTCTCTGCAGCGCCGGTACCGGGTGGTTGTAACATGGAGTTCGATATCAAAATATCGCCGTATCAAAAACTCTATGCAGAAAACGGAATGATATTAGTAGACACGCAGCCAGCATCAATTCTTTTCTCCAACGGTTCATCAATTTCCTGTGAAAAAAACCCAGTACAACACAAGATGTACCGTCTTTATCTGCCTAGACAGGATTTTACTCCAGATACATACTTCGATGTGATCACGAGAATGCTGACTGTGCAAGACATTGTGCAGAACGGCGACGAGGTATCTCATAATATTAAACAGATAAAATTTCAGTCTCATATCTATAAATACAAGTATTATATAGCTGATATCATACAATTTGATATTGCCTTATGGTTATTATTTCCGCTGATATTATTCCATAATAATATACACGCACCGTAGTTGTAGCAATCTACAAGGATTTACTAACTGCTAACAGAATAATTTCTTGCTTATTTACTGTTCGCAGAATGCATCTTTACATACTGATTGATAATAATTTTGTTAAATGGGTTATCTTTGCTGATTTTATATACTACATTTTTTAGCTGATTTTAAAAATGAAGTTAGAATTTATCCTATGACCTTTAATTTTTCATAATTGATGTATCTTTTTTTAAAAACATTTATATTTCTTATACATTTTTGTCTAAAAATTATTTATTTTATAATATAATGAGTATAAAATTACGTTACATTTGGTAGTTATTAGTAGGATATAAGTAGAGAAACATTTTAATATATATTACTAAAAAATGTTCTGCTTGCCTCAAATTTGACAAACAGATTTGAAATCAGCGCAAAAAATATTATAAAATCACTATAAGATCAATCATTTCACTATAACAAAAGAAAAGTGAAATTTTATCAAATAGTGAATTATTAGAAAATATCAATTCATAATATTTATAAAATTTTTAAATGCATGTTACTTAAAAAATTGTTTTTCTCATAAATTCATCAAGCAAGTTTTAAATTAGGATAAAAGATACTATGAAGAACACTTTCAGATTAAGTCAACATTAAAAAAGTGAATTTTTGTCGATCAGTGTAATTCATGATAAAAAAGAATTAACGTATAATTAATATTTTTGATAGATACCAGCAGGTGCTCTTACGAGTTCTATGAGACGTATCTACAGTGCGTACACCGGCACAGGATCAGTGTATGCCACAGTTGCTACTTATGAAAATTACTCTTCAGCTTACGTCCCAATTTTGACATACGCTTGCAGTCCTTTGCTCTATCCAAAAAGTTGTAAAGTTTTAAGTATGTTTTAACTTTTAAAAAAAACTATTATTCTATAATTATTCTATAATATATTCTAAACTAGTACACAATTTTTGTACATAAAATAATATATGTTTGAGAGGCAAAAGCATTAAGAAAAGTTCTAATACAGTCCACTGCAACAGTAAATAACAAATCTTATATTTCAACATAATAATAAATAATTTTTGTGCTTATTGAACTATTTAAAACGTCAATGTTTTTATTTTAAAAAAAATATCAGGAGACGCGGTAGTGTCTCCAGCCATGTTCAAAAACTTACACTACAAGTCTCTTATATATATATCACGGTAATAGAATAGTTGTCTTTTTTTTAATGAGGTCATATTGTAAAATTTGAATTTTTTAAACAATAATTGTTATCTTTCCAAATACATAAATATCTCTCGGATATTATAACTTAGTAAAATCACATATTATGTGTCTCATAAAAGATTTATATAATTATTTTCTATTTTGTGTCATTTTTTCAGATGACGTATTCGCACATATAATTTGCGCACTGGTTCTGATAATAGGTTGTCTATCCATTATTATAGGGCATAAATACCCTTTTATAGATCGTTTGTTACCGAGCTGTATGATAGGTGGTATTTTCGGCTACATTATAGCACTGAGTACCAGCGATTACAGCATCGCAAGTAATCATATATACATTAATTTTTATCGAAACATTCTTCATGAAATCATGTATATTTAATACGACGTATCTTTCGAGAAGACACACGCGATTTTAATGATTCTTGTCTCTTTCAGTCAACGTTCTGATAGGTTTGCTATGTGCTATAGCTGTAACCATATTAGCAATCTTAGGCGCTTGTACGTTATTACGCAATATATCATTGGGATTCTTATGCGCGTGTATCGCATACCTCTATGCTCCAGGTACGTACCATATTTTGATCAAAACTGCATGGCTTGCAACGATATTGAATAAAAAATATATTAATTGTCTCGGTCTTGTTTCTAAAGAATACTTTTTGTATTTTTATATAATTAATTATAGTATAGTTAATTTAATAAATCACAAATAAAGGTCCTAAACGGTCGAGCTGGATCTTTGGTGCTTAAATAATTTCATGGGGTAATAAGCCACTGATAAAAATTATGTACATCAATGTCTACTAACTAATGCCTAGTAATGCCCAATTTTTATATCCACTAATGCCCTAGTAATGCCAATTATATAATGCCTTAATAATGCCCATTAGTGTCGTAGTAATGCATAATCTCGTACCGCTTATCATATAATAATATACAATTCTCTTTAAGTAATGCCCAGTAATGCCCCAAATTTATATACCGTAATGTCCTCAGTAATTTATCCTATAAATAGTTCCATGTGAATTTATATATATCCAATCCTAACAGAACAAGAACAGTAGTATGCAAAATTAAATTGACAAGCAATTTAATAATGATGCTCATAAGTATTTTAAAATATGTTAATAACATGATGTTGACAAGCATCAAATCTGTGAATAATTTTATTGTGAAAAAATTATATTTTTATAATTAATTTACGTCTCAACTATCGCGTCCAACGCTCCTAGTCTCACAGTATTAACGCGTTACTAAATGCAACACGGAATACAGTAAACACGAAAGGATAGGGAAACGAAGGCGGGAATCGTAGGTAGCCTCTCCACGCCGCGGTGCTCGCGAAGGGCTGTTGCGAATTATAGGAAAATAATGAAAGCCAGGCTTAAAAGCAGAGGGATAGAGCCGCACTGCGCCGCCACCCCGAAGTTAGTTCGAGTTTGGCGAAGGGATGAGAGGCGCACAGTCAGTTTCTCCCCGTAGCTTCTATCAATGCTGGCCGCTCATGTGGAAACCTCGCCCGCCGAATCCCCCATGCAGAAGCGGCATGGCGCATTCACGTTGCCTCCCACCTTTCTCACCATAACGCCGCGAGACTACCCTTCGTCTACCCTCGCACGGGCACAAACGCAAAAATGCGCCCGCCACAACCGCCGCCACCGCGCGGAATACGCGTGTACACGCGTGCGATACTCTAGGGTCTACCCTGTCGACGAAACTCTCACGTCATAGTATAACCAGCTTGGAAGATTCGCATTTACCTAATTGTGTCCCCGTTTATTTATTCTGCATCGGGACCTATTTAGATTACGCGATGCGTGCATGCGCAACTGCACAGGAGCAGCGATTCGGACCCAATTCTATCTCGTCGACAGATGATCGCTATTTACCCTGAGCCGACCGCTTTCACCCCGCACAGCGTAAAACGGATGATTATGATGTATCTGGGTGTCTGTTAATTAGACAATCGAAATTTTCACACGCTATATACATTGAAATTACAGCGACAGAAATACGGGAAATATTAGATTGTCAGTTTATCATTTTCTCTTGGTTCATATTAATGTTTCAATGATTAGGATCTGATTCCTAATAATATTTCGAATATTCTAACTCGATTTCCCACTGGTAACTTATTACCGTTTTCTTGTAGCGTGGATGTTTTATGTTGTGGAGCAAAATTGGTTATTCTGGCCTATGTTCATAAGCCTAATAATTACAACAACCACACTTCTGATGACAATTCCCTATGTTGCTGAAATGACTGCACGTGTCCTTTTCGGATCTTGTTTCGTAATTGTTGCGATCGATTATTATACTGGAAGTAATTTGAAATATATCATTATTTCCATAATCAGGAGGATAACTATATCTGGATTTAATTTAGCGTTCGTATATCCTCCAATTCAAGTTACAGGTATGTCTTTGTAACTTTGTTTTATTTATAGTAACTCGATATTATGCTCTATATTCATTCTGTTTTTTCAGATGTAACTTTGATTATAGTCTGGAGTATTCTGATAACAGTACGATTTATTATACAATCGTATGCTTCTTTATGTTGTAAGAAAAAGTTTACAGGATTAAAACATGATACAGAAAGAGTATCTTTACTACTTAACCATCATGATGACTGTCCTACCGAAAGGAGGTTTCGTAACCGGCCTCGATATTATAAACGTTATATAATATTATAAATGGTATAAACTATCATTTGGTGCGTTTCATGCATGATGCGCATAATATATCGTTTATCCTTGTTGCCCACCAAATGTTAAACAAGGACAATTGGTGCATTATACGCATCATGCGCGAAACGGAACGCACCTATGGTTAACACCATATGTAATGATTTTAATATTTTTTTAATATTAATTACTTTACAGTCTCTCTAAAATAATTATATAATAACATTTCACTTCATAATAACATTACTTTGTACAAGTTTGTATAAGTAGGTATAAATATTATACATACCTGTTTTTCTCTTCGTTCTTCACTAAATATTAAAATGTGATATTTTCTTTAAGCAGGGCATAAAATTACAACAATAATGCACAACATTTATGTTGAACGTTTAATTTAACATGCGAACTTTTTTAAATAATTCTTTAATATAAAAATTTTATTTATGTTTAATCATTACGACATTTATTTTTATGTTAATATGCATATACGTACAGTACACTAATTTTATTTTTTTTTTTTACGAAATTGAATTAAAATATAATTAGTAGTTGTTAATTACATAAAGTTGTGCAGCATTATTATAAATATTGTAGTTTACTATAAAGATTATATATATCTGACATTTTTTTTAAATATTTTACAACGTATTATATAAAAATTTATGTAATGTTAGTGTGGAACACTAATTATGAATAAAGAATGTTGATTTGGCATTAAAATGAAATAACATTTATTGAATCGAGACAGTGACACCTAACAGTGGTTCTCTATTTCCTACTACTTACAATCTTAAAGTTAATCACAGCAACAATATTATCTCATTATTCACAACACTTACATAGATTACTGTCGCAATAATATATTATTTTCATTAATAAATTTGTTAATACTCATACACTGTAGTTGTTATTAGTAGTATCATTACAGATAATAAGAAAGTCGCGTAACCACTTCCGCGTAACGTTGGTTGTATAACGATTAAAGCATAATTTCGCTGAAACGCATTTTACATGCATGAAATTGCGGTAACGTTCAATTCGCAAAAGTTTTATGCAAATGCAGATTCACAAAGGTAACATAATAAATGAGAAGTACTTTAATCTACTATTCGCGAAATGCACAGCCTGTTGCAAGTGCAGCGCCTGTTTGCAGAGGATCTTCGTGCAGACGTGTATAATACGCAACCGTTTAGTCAGTGGATACGTATTTAGTTCATCCCGGAATATTTCTTCGAGTAGAGTAATAATATCAATGAACGCGAATGTTTTCGTAATTTATTTTTCGATGTTATATAATCTTATTTTTGCAATTATCCTTCAATTAAGAGAAGGAAGATCAATTAAGTCCAAATACGCGTAAGTATAGAATAATACTTTAAAAAATTAATCAATGAGAAATTTTTTCACCAGGAGGATATCAAGTATTGCAGTCCACTTCGGATCCTTGTGAATTTTTTAAATTCTGGGCGCTTTATATCTTTCTTAGATGTTTAACTCTTTCTCTATTTTATTTTTGAAATTACATATTTATATATATCAGATGACAATATTTATACAGACAACAAAAAATTATAAAATATTTTATAAATTTAAAAATCACAAAGAAAGAGAGAAAGATAGAAAGATTCTTGGTATAAAAGAATTTTACGTGTAAGTTAATATTGAAAAAAATTCTTCAAGAATCTTTCTTCAAGTCGAATGAAATTTCTATAACAAGGAAGTGGTATTGGCTGATTTAAATTTTAAATAAAAGTTGTCTCGAACTGGAGTTTATCAGCGCGAGATCGATTTTATAGCGGCGCCGTTCAAAGATGCACCGAAGAGTTTCCAGCGTTTTCAATTCACGCTGTTTTTTATTTTCGTTTTCTTCCAAAAATATAAATTTACTAATTTACACAGTACACTCTCCATTAAGTGCTCTTCACGTATAAACGTTCAACAAGTTTACACGAGCCCTACGTGACCGTGTAAACGCCGACGAGAAACGAGCGACGCTGCTGGCGTAATTTTACACATACTTCACACGTTACTGTTTAACACAATGTATATCGTCCACGGTTATCTATTGGCTGCTGATTAATTGTAGAGAGCTCGTCACCTACATTTATTACGACACGCATTGTCGATAAAATGATCGTTACGCGTTACCGAGAAAAAAAAAAGGAAAAACGCTTGCAAATATTCACATCCCGACAGAAAATATCAGCACATACAATGCTGTCTCCTGAAAAAAAAAAAAACCCCCTATCGAGTTCTGGAACGATAAAATTTGAAAATATCGAGTTGCTGTTTTCACGCCGTTTTTTCCACACCATACGAATCAGTGACTAATTATTTGACGCGATCGTGCGATGCGACTCAATTACTAAAAAAACGTGCTGCTCTCCCGTTAGGTGGTGATCGAAATGCATCGATTAAATGGATCACGGATATAAACATCCATTGAAATCGCAGTAAGTCCACACAGGTGGTTGACATTTCTTCTTGCGATTTAAAAAAAAATAATCTAGTTTCATGAATAATAGTACAGTCGAATTTTTATTTTCGTGATTTCTGAAATTATTGTTATAAAAATTCCACAATGTAAAGTAATAATATATCGCTCGTAAAAAGATTGTAGCTTTAAAATAAACGCAATAAACGCAATCGCCTTATTCGAAGGATTACTCTTTTAAATAATATTGTACATATGAAATATTATGCAAAATTCCTGTATCTTTTTTTTTTTTTAATTTTGTTGGTGATTAATTTACACGTATCGAGATCTGTTCCAAAACTCGTCTTCAAACGTAAAACTTACGCGTGTTCGACATGTGTTTTCGCGAAATGATGGGTGAATAAATGTAGGCTCAGATCATTTGATTTTATTGAAGTTCTGCTGTTGTAAGTAACGGAGTCATCATTTCGGTGAGGGAAAACATTGAATACACGGATAAGATGTTGCGTAGTTTATAATGTGGATACGTTCGAACGTAACTGGAGAATTCGTCTAACTTAAGTACGTATATATACAGTGATAATATTATTTCTAATGTACAGTACTGGTTTAAAGAGAGTAACAAATGCTATCTTACAATTATCTTTATACAGTATAATCGAAAGAATGTGCTTCGATCGTGTGCGCGACGACGATTAACGAGTTCGATGCCAATAAGATTTCTCGTTACTGCGAGCACCAATATTTGCGATTCGTTTGTAACGACGAATCCGCTTCCTCGGTCCATTAGCTCAGTGATACATTTACATTAATAGCAATAAATACCGACGCAAACGTCCATGCTACTTGCCTTCTTCGGGCATTACTGTGACATTTACGAAATCTTCTCTATGATTACGTCGGTTTATTCTTCACGACCTCATACGTCACTTTATTATGGTAATAAGGATGGTACAAGCTACAGATTGGATTGTCTTAATCTAGAATCGTGTATCTTGGACCGGAATGAACGTTGTGGAGAGACGTGTAAATAAAGAGTTTCAAATCGAACGATTTCGCCTGCTGTCATTGTTCGCAAATGTGTTAAATATAGTTTACGCGAAATTTAAAAAAGTGCTATTCGCGTTTGCTACGTTAAGAAGGATCTGAAACTGTAATATTGCTATTCTCGATAAATCTTGCACACAGATTTTCAGGTTTAAATCTAGCATAATTTGAAATACACGCGTCGATTTTTATTGCGCATCCGGTCGTATTTGCAAAGCGCGATAAATCCACGCGTGAAGAACCACTCACATTAATAATAATGTAATAACAATATTTTTATCGAGTACAACAAACAAATAAACAACAGAAGATATATAAAAAAAAATTACAGATTTTTTTCAAAAGAATTTTTTCATTTAAAAATACAAATAAAAGGTATAATAAAATATATTATAAATTAATATAAATATATATTAAAAAAATTATTTCCTTTATATCTCTGGGATATTTTTCGCGAATAAATTGTCGATCAATATTATTACCAATAGTATTGTTCACGTGAATTATAGGACCGCCACATTCTTTCGAGAGCAGTGTCTTCCGACGCCATATCTGCCGACAGACACGATGGCCGGCCTTGCTGAAAAAAGCCGCCCTCCAGGCAGCTATCAACCCCCACAAACCGTTCCCTCCCGCAACGAAATCAGCCTCATCGAGAGACTACCACCCTAAACTCTCGCGAGAATATATTTCGGCGGGAGCCGCCTACGTGTCTGCGGCTCCCTTTCAATTTCCACGCGGTTCGCGGCCGCCCTTACACGAAGGAAAATATTTGCCGGAAACCGATACAACGTGCGGCAAACAATATGCGCCCGGCGCTATCCAATAAATCCGGTAATAAAGCTCCCCGATACCGAAAAACGAGAGCCGCTGTAAATTTAATGAATGCTCTTGACATCGATCGACTTCGGGGAAACTAAAAGGGAGAATTCGCGCATGTCGGACGAAGTGAAAAATAACTTTTCCGGCACATTATGGCGCTTATTAAAAAAATTCTTTTGTTGCAGTAATTTATCGGCAGATTTATACGAGAGAGAGATCACTTTCAAATTGTGTAATAAATATCTCTCTTAAGGAAATTATATTTTTCTAACAATAACTATAACAATAACATATATATATGTATATATAGTGGTTCTTCGCGCGAAAATCCTCGATGTGACGACAATGGTAGCGTAACGTAAATCATTTACACATACTATCGTGAATAGGTAATTACCCTGCGTGACCCGGGGTCATGCGTATACATCTACGAAATCTAGATCAGACACGAAGTGGAAGATGGGTAAAATGTTCTGTTGGTTCGAGTTCGAATTATAAAACTTATTGTGCTGCCTAAAAAATTCCGCTTTGTGTAATCAGATCACACGTTGGTAAAAAAATCTTTTCAATTTCAAAGAGGATTTAATTGCGACGAGAGCTGCTGCTCCATTACTGATCACCAAAATGCGGGCGGCGTTGGCAAATTTACAAATTGTTCAAGAAGGGGGGAAACCTATCCTATCTCCTAATCCTAATCGAATAGTTTCGTAGATAGGTATTGCCATTCAGAAAATTGACGGTCGTAAACATTCGAGGACGCGAGTTAT